CCAGTATATAAGATAGTGTATAATTGTAATACTGCAGGAGAGAAGTAGAGATAAGTCTATCTTTGAGTATATTAAATGCAATTTGATAGATTTCGTCAAAATGGAATTTGATATTTGCTTTTGTAAGTTTATAAAGAGGTTTTGCTATTATACTATAATCCTTAATGAATTAATAATAAAAGTTATAAAAATCTAAGAATAATTGGATACCCTTTATAATAATAAAATAAATTCAAATAGCGATTATTTCAATCTTTTCTGAATCGATTTATATATTATCTATAAAGATAATAAAACCTAAATACTTTATATATTTAATATTGAATTCACATTTTTTAAGGTTTACCTGAAGGCTAGCGAATTCAAGTTATTCGAAGATATATTTAATATATTTCTTATATTCATTTTTGTTTTCAGAATATATAAGAATATTATTAAGATAAGTAATACAAAAATCATTTAAATAGTTAAATAGAATATTGTTTATATATTGTTAATAAATCATAGGGTTATTTATTAATCCAAAAAGTAAAACTTTGTATTTGTAGGAATTATATCGAGTGTGGAAGATAATGTATTCTTTAAAAGCTGGATCTATATGAATACAATAGAATACTTATCGAATATCTAATTTGGTATACACCTTTGTACCAGCAAATCGTGCGAGTATTTCGTTAATGAGAGGTAGAGGGTATCTGTCTTTGTGTATTAAAGAATTGAGTAGTTGGAAGTTTATATAGAATCTTAAGCTTTCATTTGGTTTTCTTATAAAGAGAATCGGCACTGTGAATAGTGTTTGACTAGATTCTATAAATCCTTTAACAACGTTCTCTATAATATATTCTTTAACAACCTCAAGCTATTCGAGTGATATCTTATATAGGGAACTGTATTTGAGAGCTTTTTCACTTTTTCCTTTAAGTATAATTTTGTGATTATATGATTGAAAAAGAGGTAGAATATTGGATTTGTGCTTAAAGAATACTTAATGATATTACTAATAAGCTTTAGGGATCGGAGGTTCTATCTCGATGTTTATAATAATGTGATTAAGAGTAGCGATAGTTTTTGGTTTAGAATTATTTAAAACAACAATTGCGATTGAGATTCGATAATTATTATCTTGATTAGATTTATGAATCGAGATAATGTCATCAATCTCTATATATATAACTATAAAGATCTCATAATCCTTGCTTCTCTTATAGGTAAATTGAAATTGAGTCGGCTTGAGTATATAGATATCAAACGTGTCGGAGATATAAAGCGGGAAGGATTCATAAACAGATTGAATAAAGATTTGACCAAGAATAAGTTTCTTCTTTAGATTAACTAGAACCTGAGCTTCGATTACATCTGAGATTACTGTATTAGTCTCTTAGGGAGAAGTAATAAGTATCTCAGATACAATCAATGCTATAATCGATTATCCATTATCAAATCGATAATACATCTCTTCCAATTAGGCATTCCGATTATCAACATCTTTCTATCTCAAATGATTGATTCTGGGTTATTAAAGACTATCTTTAATTAAAAGTATATTTTTTAATAAGAAAACAGTAGGAGGATATTCAAAAGGCCATTCAAAGTGTTGATTAAAACAATCAACTTTAATTCGAGTCTTTGCCAACCATTTGCAATCTAGGATTACACTATATAAACCCAAATCGGTAATGAGAAATAGCAAATAAGACTATTATTGAATATCAATTATGAAATTAAGAAATATAAAATAAGTAATAGCTTCACCTCGTATATCATTATAGCTTTTGACTTCAATCAATAGTTCGAATAATATAAAGCAGGATTTGAATATAGGGAATAATAATGAAAGAAGTGTTTTGTCGATAAAAGCAAAGCCATTCGCTTCGGAATCTATAAGAGATTGAGTATTGTATGAATATCCGTTCTTCGAAAATGTGCATAGTAGGTTTATGGAATCACCTCCTATTAGTTTTGTCAAATTAAGGAATCTCATATCCCGGATTGCATTTAGAAGAGAACTTCTACCTAAACGTATTGATTTAAATATTGGTTTTCGGTAATACGAATAGACTCGATAGCTTCCACTTACATTTCTTGATTTATATTCTTTTCAGCATTCTTTTTTATATTATAAAACTCTTCATCTTCTTCAATCTCTTGAATCTCGGTTATAGTATTTATATTATCTATATATAATATAAAACTGCAATTCACTCCTGATGTAGAAGTGATAGTACTATAATTGAAATTGTTTTCTGGAGATAGAGTATTGTTTGGCTTGAAGGTTTCTATATAACTAGTAAAAGTGTAAGAAGGATATTGGATATGAAACTAAGTAAATAGATTCGAATTACCTGATAAGCAGAGAGTGTTTTTAGGGATAGTCAACAAATCGGTATTATTAAATAGCTTTTTAAGAGATATCTTTTTAATTGTTTTATAATAATTATGTTCTTAAAATATAACTTCGAATTTGTTGATTTTAATAAACTTGATAGTCAGATTCTCAACAGTGTAGTATTCGTTAATATAAAGGCTAATAGCTTATTGAAGGAAATCGGATATTTTTCTTTCCAGATTGTAAAGGAGAGTTATTAGATCAATGATTTCTGTTTATATAGCTAATAGTCTAAATCTACAATACTATATTAGAAAGTTTTTTCATTGAGTATTATTAGGTATAACCTAGTGTTTATACTTAGTTTGTATATAATCAGCTTTGACCAGATTCTTGTAAATAACTGCAAGCTGATCGATTAATTGCTATCCTGTCAAGCGGGGGACTTGAGTGTATAGTGAGAATACGTGTTTTTATATCTTTCCTTTTATCTGATCTATTATATAAAATCACTATTGCGTTTTCGAAATGAGTGAATTTTTGTAAAGTTCGAGTTGCTCGGTAATTAATAGCTATCAAAGATTTGTTTTCGGCTTTATATCATTTTTGAGTTTGGATGAAAGATTGGTGGGCTTCGGAATATATGGACGCTCTATTATAGTGGTAGGTAAACGAGAGTGGGGTGTTCGGTGAATTTGTGGGTTGTTTGGTAGGGCGATCGGGTTTGAAAGAGGTTTGCTATCAATATTTGAAAGGGATTGTCACAAAGACTGACTTTACGAACGGGGGTTTTTCTTGTTCTTCCTTTTTTTGGTAATAGGAGATACTCTCTCAATAAAATCGACTAGAATATTAGGAGTCCGGACTTTGCGATTTGCAAGGGAATCTATATGATATTGTTATCGGTATCTTGGAGATTGAAATGGGTAAGCGATATTAAGATTACGCTATAACAATTTGTTTTTGAGTTTTACAATTTCGTTTTATAAGTTCTCAAAGTCTTTAAGAATTGGTATTTATTTTTTTTATGATGAGAGAGTGTGTGTCGGTATGCTATCCTTGAGAGTTAATATCTCGATTGAGGAGTCGTTTTCAGGCTGTTTATCCTTTCCATATTTACCAGTATTTATATTAGAATTATAAGAATTATAACCATTGCTTTATTAAGATTAACTATTATTAGCTGAGGGCATTCAGTTAGCGAAAGGGGGAGAGTAATAGAGTTTCTTTAAGGTAAATAGATTGGATATGATAACAATACTTGTAATTCTGTATATTAAGGGTTTATTGTTTTTTATTAAGTAGATTTACTTGGAATTAGCCCTCTTCCTATAAATAATATCGAATGTCCTCAATATACCCAAGAAGGTATTATAGTTATAAGATATTATTTGATTGGCTATTAGATGATTGTATGATTATATAATAAGTTGTAGATAATGTAATATTTTGTTTTAAAAGAACTGTAAAAGCAAGGTACAATTTATCCTTAGAATCTACAATTACAGAATTAGGAATAAAGTATTTGTAGAATGCTTCTATATATTAGCTATATACATGTGATTGTGCATGTGCGCAAGTGTATACGTGAGCGATCACAGCTGCGATTGGGTGCGATCCGTGACATTATTTATATTACTCTAAACTCATTGTATACTATATCTCTATATCTGTTGATTTTTCTTAATTTTTTTTTGAATTTCTATATAGATTTAAGTTCAAGTCTTTCAAAAAGATATATAGTTTTCTTTTAATAATTGTTGTTAAAAAGTTATTAAAGGGTTTATAAAAATTCTAAATTTGTATGTTATTCCCATACAAATTTGAAAATCGATATTTTGAACCTTTAGCTCTCAGTCCAGAATAGTCCTAAATATCTAAGAATTTCATAATAAGCTTAAAACGATCTAAATTATCTATATATAAATTTTCATTAAATTATATTATATATTGATAGAGATATTAATAGGCCTAAAAAGTGATTTTTGGTGCGAAAGGGTGGCCCAAAACAGGGGTGGCCCGAAAGTAGGGTGCCCGACTTATTGAAGGTGAGAGCTATGTTGACTATCCGTTGCATGACAACTACTAGCGTCGGGTTAGGAGCACAAAACTAACAAAATTATACTTTCGTAGTACATCGCGCTTTCAACAACCTTCTAGTGGTCTGGAAAATCAGAACCTATAAGTACCCATCTCCCCTTCAGTTTTTCTGATCTTCTTTTCTTTTTCTTTTTGGCCCGATCTCGATTTTCAAAGTGTACGTATCCTCCTTTTTCACTGATCCAACTCTCTCTGTGATATTTCACTTTGCTAATTTATATGCACAACAGTCCATGACAACCACAAAAGAACTTCAATAGCAATAACAACAACCATCATGTCGGGATCAGAGGTAAGACACCCTTTCATAATGTCTCTCCCTTGGTCTGCCAGCCTTCACTTTCTCTATATACATGGCGTAATATCCCCAATGGGAGTTGCATTACCATTCCTCCTCTTTGAATGACTTGGGCATGTACGACTCCTATTGATCAGTGGGATCATCAAACCAGCCTACTTTGGTATGGGGGAGTCGTCCTCAGACTTTTCAAGGAGCAGTTGCCTTGTATGAAGCATTTCTTCAAAAAAGAAGCGAAATCCTACTTTTAAAAGTAGGCATAGTTGGACGCTCGGGATGCAGTTTCACCCGGGCGGAGCGTTAGGAGCTTGCCGAGTACTATGGTCCTGTGCTGCGCGTGTATCACCGGCCAGTCCGCTTCCGATCGTCCCTTTGGGCTGTGAGTGTGTCGCCGGCTCAGATACGATCTTGAACACTCTGTTGAGATGCTGGGCTTTGGGTCAGACATTGGTGTCTTACTCAGCATTGCACATTGCTGACAGCTGTCTTATATAGAACCGTCGAAGACACCAACCTCGCTCTGAACTTCGTCGGGCCGGCGCGGCGGAGATTCCCTCTCCTTCTCCGACCCTCACCAACGACCATCACCACATACATTTGACGAACCAAGGTGATGGTCGTTCCGTGGAGGAGGAGAGGGATCTCCTTTTATTTGTAAGTTACCTTTGTCTCTCTGTCTTTCTTATTGTTCTAATCTATCTGGTGGTATGGACACGTTTAATTGTTCAATTTGCTCTGATGGTATAAAATCAAGTGGTTGTTCACAATGGTCCAATTCACCTCATTCACGTAGTTGTTTGAAATGATCAAATTGATTGAAACAATTTCATCATCTGAAGTTCCTATATTGTTCCAAGGCTAACAGTACATTCAGGAACACCAGCTGCGAGAGGGGGAGACGGTGCGGGCTGCCGGGCTCCAACTGGAGCAAATGGAGTTTGTAAGCAATCTACTCCACATCTGCCGCTGAATGCCCAATCTCTAATCGCACAATTAGAATCATTATCTCCGGATAACGGAGATGGAGACTCGTGCGCGCCTCCGGGAGCGGGAACTCCTCCTTCGGGAGCGAGAGATGGGCCTTCGGGAACGTCAGTGGCGCCTTCGGGCACAGAAGATTATTTTCTTCACTTTTTTGGCGCTCTTCGGAGCTTATATGATGCTGCTGTTTCTCCGCCTTCGGGCAAACAACTATGTTACGGGGGTTGTGTGGGTGGATGAGGTGGTGGAGGTGGATGGATGGTTGGGGGAATGGGTGGATGTGGATTTATAGTGTTATTTTTTCGTTTCTTTTTGTTTTTGTTTTTTTGGCGTTTGGCGTTTGGCGTTTGGTGTTTGGCATTTTGGAGTTTGGCGTTTTTGCTTTTTCTGTATTTAATTTCCTCTTCTTTTTTCAATCAATTTTTTCCTGATATCAAAGTGAGTTCTTCAATTTCGCACAATAGACATCCCATATAAGTAAGATATATGATCTTTCAAAGTTAAGTAAACAAGATCAATTCAAGAAATCAAACCTCAGAATCACAAGCATTTCAAAATCAATATCCTCCCTTTGTTCATACTAAAATCTCATAGATCGTGTCATCCCCCCATATCTTCCTTCGAGACTCGAGAGCCATCTTTCACTTTCAATGATAGGTATCTCATTTTAGCTCCAAGGCTTAACTTTTCTCTTCTTACTGAATACTTGTGCTAGTAGCCTGACTTGGCGCCACCAAAGTTTCCCTCCAAGTCAATCCCCCATCATCAATTACAATTGGCGAGAAAGTCAACGGAGTAGGTGTGGGCCAAAATCCATCATCATCCCAGGTAGTAGTACTAGTCTCTGTTGTCGTCGCCGTACAGACTCCAGCCGTTATTGTCTCGGTAATTGTATATTCGATGGGCATAGGATCAATAACTAAAGTTACCGTTGTTGTAGTCGTTGGTCCACAAGTTGCGGACGAGGGAGGCAAGAATGGAAGACCGGCTGTAACGGTACTGGTTACTGTAATGATACGTTCGGATATTTGATCACAGTATGGTGTGTATACTGTCATGGTGGTGGCGCTCGGTGATGGCCCAGGAGTGGTATCGCATGGATAACGACCTGCTTGGTAGGTGGTAATTATGTAGGTGAAGTAGTCGTAGATGGCTGTTACTAGAGTTGTGGTTAGGACATTTGTGGTAGTGGTACATGGGGCCGAGAGATCGGAACGCGTGATGAATTGTGTGGTTGTGGTGGTAAGGCGATTTGATAGGACCTGGTCGGCGACTAGTGTTATGATAGTGGTCACTGTCTTGACGATTCCATTGGCAGTTCGAACAATAGTAGTGGTAGTGGGTACAGATGTTGTGACGGTTTGGGCTTGGATAGGTGGACAGGTAGGACAGATTGTTACGAATGCTGTGGTGGGAACTCCGGGGCCAGCGTAACAAGAACAGACTGATGAGATGGAGGATTGGATTGCAGCATTGCCAAGACCTTTTGTGCACGCGCCTGCGGGTCCTTTCTTGTCAAATGAAAGCGTATTTCTGCGGCCGGGGGAGGTAAATGAGGAACAGAATGATTGTACGTAGGCATTAGAGGATGTGAAAGCTGTTGCCCAAGTACTTTGACAAGCGTTTTCTATTAGGGAGAGTTAGAGTTTGCTACAGAGGGAAAGGGATATGGAGTTTTGGAGTTTGAAAAATGAGTGAGTGATATTAATTAAGACGAAGAGAGAATACAAACCCGATATACATACTTCCACATCCTATACTAACGGTTGATGTAGTACAAGTTATAGGGATAGGGTCTACAATCGGAGAGGGACGAATTGTAGGTCGTTTATCAGGTTGTAGTGGTGGTGGAAGATTAGCAGCATATACTTGAGCCGCAAAAACGAACGTGCAAAAGAGCCGAGCTATATTTGAGACTCGTGGCATATTGAAGGAGAGAATTTGTAGCAGACACTCGTGTGTGCATCTTCATGATTGAAGGATACATCGCGATCTTTATATATCTGGACTTGAGGCATGTAGGCGGTGCTGAAACCTTTGACTAAATTCCAAAGTCGCACGGGTCGTTGCTGAGGACTTTTATCGTGGCAGTAGCGATGATTCGATACCAACTACAAGAATCGCCAACCCCGCTATGAGTGTATGCTGATATGATAGGTCAATTTGGCGTGTAATATCCCATAAAATTCTGGTGGAAGTCAGGAGAATACCCACATTCCTTTTTCAGCCTTGGCGGAACTGTCTCACATATCTAGAGCTTGTGAACGAAAGCTTCTCCGGGGTCCTCACTTATTATGAAGAATTCGTGACGTTTTACACGAAACCTCTCTGGTTTATCCATCGAACGAAAATTGATTGGTGCTGGGTCAAGTACAAGATCCTCAGCGATTTAAAAGGGAAACTTCATTCGGTTGTTGTTTGAAAGAATGAAAGGTTGGATCTTTGGAAATCTGTAGGCGCTTTTGTTTCTGTTTGAGTAGTAGGAAGTTCGTCAAAACTTTCGGGATCTAATTTATAATAAAAGAGCTCTATTATTGACTTATACCACAACTCTAATAACCTTGAATCTTCAAGTCAACAGTAAATTATATAGCTTAATGCTTTCTAAGTAAGGGTTATCTCAAGCAATTGAGCTCCTACTGCAGTCTCAACACCATCTACATCAACATTCATTCCACTACCACCACCAGTTGTAACGTACAGCTTATTGAGTTGACCTTGGGCACGACCAAATGCGGCACCGGTCGGCTCGGCAATCTCGGTTGAGTCCAGAGCACCAGCGATAATAGCAGTCTCATTGTTACCACCAGTCTTAGCATCGAAGCTGATCTCCATAATTGAATTGTTGACGGATGTAGCGAGGTATGCATATTTATGACCTTTGCTATTAGTTTGATTGGTCTTCCAGCCGTTGGGGGATAGGGCGAAATCGTCGAAGTTTAAAGAAGAATCGTCTTCGAAGCCGAGGGCAATCACTTCAGCAGTACTGATGGTAAAATTGGAATACAATTCTACCCGGCAAAAATCGGAATCAGCAGTCCAATATATGTAACCAACTTGGATCTTGATATCATTAATATCGCTCATTGAATCATCCTCAAAGGCTACCCAAGTTCTCCCAGTCTCAACATCGACGGCAGCGATGGCATTGTCGTGGCTGGCAGAAGCGAGGATGATGGATTCGTTGTATGCAGCTAGGCCATTGAAGTCGACAATGGTCGGATAAGTAGGGCTTGCGACGTGAGTTATAACCGGTTCCGTTGTGTTACCAGAGTAATCAACACGCCATACCTGGGGAGCGTTTTTGGGCGGATCGCGAATAGTAGCAGAAGTAGTGTTGGCGCCAGTGACATAAAAAACGTTATGAGCACCTTCAGTGATTCCAGTGAGACTCAAAACGTTGGCAAAGGTAGCAACGACCTGCTTTTCAGTGGTTTCTTGGGTTGGATCAAAAGCCAAAAGTCTTGCGGGTGGACCAATCTCGGTAGCAAGAATGACACCATCGGATCGAACAACAAGGTTTTCTAACCAAGTATCTTTGGACGCGAATTGATAAACTGTTCTTACTGGGAATTCTGCGACGACCTGAAAATTATCCCTAAAATGGGATTTCTTTAATTTAAGCCTTAAAATTTGTTGATATGGGGTTTGAGTTGCCGGTCTTGAATAATTCTTGGCATGCTAGATATCAAACCGTGAAAGTTCTTCAGATTTCATCCATACCCTTCAGCTGCTCAAAATTCTCGGGGCTAAGAGAAAGCATGGCATTCTTAGTTATAGTTCCTCTGACATGTGAATTATAGTACCATTCATTGTTCTAGAATAAGGTTTTCGTAACTATGCTGGTGATACCGGCGATTTCGGACTATACCCCCTGTGAGATTACGTTGAAGCTCAGCTAATACTGATTTGAATATGATTGACGCGTGTACTTTTCAATTCGACCGGTTGAATACTTATATATGTTCATGAGAGTTACAGAAAACCCGAAGCATCACAGCCAACTTTCATATTCATTTCCTAACGTTAAACAACTCGTCATGAGACGTTTTCACAGCGCTCGCTACTTTTGCAACAGATGCTAGTGCCGCGACTAATATCACGGAATCGCTTGTTCAACTTTGTACTGTTGCCAATATAAAGGCAGCTTTACCCGCCGATGGGACTTTTGTTGGTATTACCATGGTCCTATCGCTCACATCAGCAAATTTTGTTTATAATGCAACCGATTTCGTCTTAGGAGATAGAGGTACAACCGGACCTTGGACCTATTGTAACGCAAGGTTTAGCAGGAAAAACGTTACATGTGCGGTAAGCAGGTTCACAACTCTTAAATCAATCTCTGGCACTTCTGAGTTTGTGCCTGAAAATCCTTTTCACATCGAAATGATTCGATAGACGAAGGGAGATGTCGAAAAAGTGTATGAGCTCATCCTGAATTCAAAAAAATTTCCTTTTCCCCCCGTAATGAGAGAGTGCTGACTTGGTTTATCAAAGCACTGACACTGTATTAACCCCTATCCAACCTCTTCCTTCAGCCCCTATCACTACCATTCAAGCTTGAAGGAAGCTGAAACTTTTGAAGAGCACCAAAGCAACTGTTCTGCTCAAAGGCGCCATTGATCTTCTGCAAGGTTCATTTCTCGCTGCTGAAGGAGATCTCGTTCCCGGTCACGCAAGGTTTATTTCAGACCCGAATCTCAGAGTTTATGGTTCTAATAATGATAAATCAAAATTGGGACAACCGAGTACTACGCCAATTCCTTACGAAAATCAGCTCATTCATCTATAGGCCAGAACCCGTTCAGTCTCCTTCTCGCTCCCCCTCTCGCGTGATGGATGTTCCTGGCTGTTCAATTAGATCTAGAATAATGGAGTACCGAGAAAAAACGAAGATTATCACTTGACTCTTACTCTAGCTATTCAAAAGTTAGTATCAAGCAGTACATAGAACGTGGAAATAGCCTCACGATCGTTCACCTGCATAAAGATCTGAGATTGAACGTCTCTGCTGTTCACAGATATTTGCTGATGATTAGTTTAGAAAATCTGTTTCCAGTTTGAAAAGACATCAGCAAACGTATTGAGTAACACTTATGTTTGAGCAGGATTTGCGTCTTACATTGCGTGTTGGGAGCTGCTTGAGATATTCCAAGATCGAGCTCTGTCCTGAGTGATTTTAGACAGTGTAGTGAAGTGTGGTCGTGTAGCTGATGGCTAAAATATGGTATGATAAAACAGAATTTATCCGAATGAAAAATAATCCTTGAGAGTGGCCAGGTGAACATTTATAGATTCATTATTTTGGGTTCTAAAATTAGAAGCCTGCTCATCATTTAGTTGAAGCTATTTTATTTTGCTCCGGTATCTCATGTTGTACTTACGCTCCAGATCTTCACAAGAGCCGCCAGCTAAGAATTGACCTCACATGTGGAAGAAGACAGTACGAGAAGCTGGCACCAGTCTCTCATTTGAGTAAGGTACCCTTTCCCATGAAAATTGAAAAAGCATCGTCATCCATTCAAACACGACTTTGATGTAAGTGCTAACAGCACTATCTAGTCAACATCTATCTACCAAATTCATATTGAAACTTTCCACTCTTAACTAGAGCTAGTATTAAATGTCACGAGCAAGAAATTCCTCTCAATCATGTGTACAGTACTGTGGAGAACCAGATACGTTTCAGTCATCAACCTTTCGGAATATACTATCAGCTTGGACCGCTAAATTTATTCTGGGGTTTGAACTACTCTCAGACAACGTAGATTACTATCTACTCTCGCAAACGAGAACCCTTAGAAAATTTAGCGAGAGATGAGCCTTGGTGCACAACAATTATCGTTTCCTCTTTTACCGACTGCGTTACTGCTACGATACCTTGAGACTGTATTTCCCAGAAATTTAGAGAAAAGATCTGAAGATAATCGTCATAACGGAATCGATCGATTTAAATAGATCACCCAAATATCCCGGAGCGAAAAGGGATTCATCAACTACGAGAAAATTCAAATGGAAAATATTACAACTTTATTTCTAACCACAAGACTCTATTAACAATAAGAATATTGAATCTCAAGGTGTTTGAGAATGGAAATGAAATAAAGAATAATGATATCATTCTTATTTTCTGTTTACACAGTTTCTTCTTATTCTAAATCCCTTTTGACACTCTTGAAATCTAAACCATTACATTCCTCACTCTATTCATATCTCGCTTCACCTCCCCCCTCCAATCTTTCACCCGCTTCCGCCACAAGCTACCAATCCACTCACGCAATCCCTTACTCTCTCCTCCCTCCTTCACTCCCCTTCCACTATAAATCATCCCATCCATTCTCCTATCCTATCCTCCCCACTCCCAGCCATCCCTTAGCCCTACAAACCACCTCTCACCAAGCATTTTAAACAAAAACAAAACCACAAAAATGCAAACCCGACTCCCCCATTCAAAATTTTAAATTCAGATAATCCAAAACCCAATCAATTCTACCGTTTCACTTCAATTTCACCATCATTTTACTCCTCCCTTCATCACTATCACGCATCCATTTCAAACTATCAGTCATACACTCAGAAACCCAGCGCTCAAATCCCAAACCCCAAACCCCAAACCCCAAATCCCCTTTCCGATTCATTTCCCTCCCACAAAAAGATCTCCAGAGTCAAAGAGTCAATCATCACTACAAAAAAACAACAACAAAAAAAAAAAAACACAAATCTTCCAAGTTTCAAGTTTCAAATTCCTTCTACACACGCGATTCTTTCCAAATTCTCACTCTGCTCTGTTCATTCCATTCCATTAAACTATTGAAGAAATATGCACTGCACTGTGCGCTCAGCTCTCTTAACAATCTCAATCTCACACATCTCACACATCTCACACGAAACTTTTCAAAGTTAATTCCAACTTCACTTCACTCCCCAAAAGTCTTCCCAAACGGAAGTCATATAACCATTCTCAGAATCTCAGTACACATACACTTCCTCACTCCCTCACTTTTTCATACACTCACACATTCATATACTCACACATTCATATACTCACACATTCATATACTCACACATTCATATACTCACACATTCATATACTCACACATTCATATACTCACACATTCATATACTCACACATTCATATACTCACACATTCATATACTCACACATTCATATACTCACACATTCACACTCACAAATAATAGATAAGAATACCTACCTAATAGGTACCTAAGTAGTTAACTACAAACAATTCTAGACATTTACATCCACCCATCAACCCGTCACCGCACCCCAATCCATTCTATCTCATTTTATCCCATCCATCCCATCCATGCCATGCCATCCATCCCATACAGCCCCAAAACATACATACACTTAGCAAGATAAAAGCAAGAGAACAGCCAGTAATTAGCTATCTATGTGTTGCGCCCAAGACTCCTCCGTTTCGTTTCGTGCCATGCCATTCCATGCCATGCCATCATATTGCTAACTAGCGTTCTTGTACTTCCTTCCATCCATTTCTCTCCTTATCCACTTGTCCCATCCCCTCCCCTAAACCAAAAACCACCTCTTCTCCGCCTCCTTCCCCCCCACCCTCCTCGCCACCAAATCCAACGTCGCCTTAATCGCCCCACCCGTCCTCCCCGGAAACTTCTTCTTCAACACCTCCACCAACCCCACTTTACTCAAATCGCTTCCCTGAATTGCTTCTTTGAACGCCGGGAGATCCGAATCCGGGAGGTATTTTTTCGGTTTCGTGTCTGCTTTTGCTTCTTGGCCTTGACCTTGACCTTGATGAATTGGAAGAGATGTAGTTGTAGAGGAAGAGGTCGGAGTGCCAAAGAAAGATAGCGGTGTGGATTTTTGATTGGGGTTTGAGACTTTGTTGTTGGATGTGGAGCCTAGAGGAGATGGGGAAGTTTGGCGGGTGTTTGTGTTTGTTGATTTTAACGGAAGACGTGGAGGGTCCATTGATCCTGTTTGAGATGGAGGTACGATTGGTTCCCAATATTGTGTTGAGAAAGGATCTATAGATTTCATTTTTGGATCTGTTTGACGTTAGTAGCTATCTCAGATATCCGTTGAGACAAGAAAAAGTTTCAAGCCAAAAAACTTACCAAGGATAAACTCCATCCTAAACGGCATCATCTTAACATTCGTACTCCTCTTCTTCCTATCCTCCCAACACAATCCCGTACTAACAGGTTCTAGATCTCCCTGTATACCACCCATGGCACGTCTGGAGATCAATAGATCATCATTTTCATCATCAAGGAATCCATCCATATCCTCTGCATCATCAAGACCTTCTTCATCTTCTTCTCCCTCACTATTCAAATCTTCTGCATCTTCATCTTCTATCCATTCCGCCTCACTATCATAATCGTAATTCGTATTCGGGAGATCCCTTCTCATAGGATTGCGTGCTAATTTCGATATACCATTTACAGGTATGTGTGTATATGTACCTTGATATGGAGGTCTAACATCTTCTTGAAATTTGAGAAATTTCATAGGAACATCCTTCAGTTGAGCTTTGGTACGTTTGATTTGAGAATTTTGCGAGTCTGCTGTGAGGTCGATGGGTTTTGTAGGATTGCCCGATAATTCCGCCATGATTTCGCGAACTGGTACAATCGATTTTCCTCGCTTGAATGAACTGCTTGATGACAGATGGAAAAGTTCCATGGCGTCAAACTCTCGTTTTCTTCCCGGACTTCGATTGCCCAATATGTATGCATCAATCGTAGACTGTACAATTTGTGATCTCTCATCATCTCTCGCAAAATGATTAATCGGTGCCAACCTAACACCATTCTGAACGAAGAAAGCCGGAAACATTTTGTCATATGGTGAGATTTCCTTCTTACTCGGATTCAAATTCGTCGAGGACATAGGAATTGGAGCCATAGAACAACTTGCTGAAGCAGGACTGATCGATACATCATCCTTTGAAGTCTTTGCTGAAACTGGTGTTCCAAAGAATGAGGATAAAGTCTTTTGACTTGCCGCTTTCTTCTTCTTCTCATCCTCGATTCTCTGCTTTTCTTCATCCTTCTTACGCTTTTCCTCATCCTTCAATCTCTTCTTTTCTTCCCTCGCAGCCTTTTCTTCATCCTTTCTCTTTCTCTCAACCTCTTTCTCAGCCTCTTTTCGTTTCTTCTCCTCTTCCTTCTCCGCCTCTTTCTTCCTCTTCTCCTCATCTCTCTCCCTATCCTTCTTCCTCTTCTCTTCCAACTGTGCCTGTTTCTCATGCTCCTTCTTCTCCCTCTCCATCCTCCTCTCCTCCTCCTTAAACCTCTTCTCAATCGCCCTCGCCTCCTTCTCCGCAAACGACAATTTCGCCTTCTTCGCCGGGGGCATCTTATTCCCATTCGCATTTCCATTCAACGCCGCAAAAGCCGAGCCCCTCACCGGCGATCCCCCATTTAAACTCGGCGTACTCCGCGATCCCAGATCACTCAGCGAACTCACCGTGCTTTCCGCAGGTGTAACTTCTCTCTCGCGTTCGCGCTTGACAGATTGTATGCTCACCGGTGGAGTGGGTAAAGATTCGGCGGTAGACTCTGCTTCCGATTGCTCTGCAGATTCTTTCGTCGGAAGAGGAGTATCGATTTCCGCCTGTGAATTCGTATCTTCGATTCTCTTCCTCTCGGCCTCTCCAACATGAAAAGGTTCAATCAACCCAAAGCTCTCCTCGAAATCCCTCTTCTTGACCCCCGAACTCGGTGATTCCCTCCTTGTCTCCATGATTTTAATTATTCCTCTTCTCAATCCTTTCTCAGTTTTCGTTCGAATGGAATTCGCAGTCGTTAATCAAGGCCAAATAAAGCAATTCGTCGCAATTCGTTCTTCCACGAAACCCCAACAAATTTCATCTAAAATCTGCAAATCGATCTTTCTCAAAGAAGCCCTTCTTAAAGATCGCACCGTACCGTACCGTATCGACTCGTAGTACCGAATTGAAAGAATCCCAACAACCCACAATCGAATCAATCAATCAATTGAATGAATCCCCTCCAAATCCTCTCTTCACCTCTCCTTTCCTATTCCCTTTCCAAAATCCCTCAGAAAATCCACTCTTTAAATCCCTTCTTGCGCGTTCTCAAAGTCAAAATGACAAAGTCAAAAAATATCAACCTTTCTCAATATCAATCAATACCTAGTATAATTCCCAACGCGTCTCTCTCTCCAGTACAATACAGCAATCATTATCGTGTTCCTTCGCGTCTTCCGAAAGTGGGTTTCGCGTTTGCGGTACTTGCCGTTTGTCCCTGTATTTTGTGGCGTGCATTGATACGTATAGTTCAATTTGACCTGTTATTTACTAGGTACACCTGCATTACTAGATAATTAGGTAACGTGTTTTATCATCGAGTGGATCATATCACCGAATGGATCACTCAATTTACATACAAAATTCGTCTGTGCGTAACCGTGCACTTTCTTTATTTATCGATAGAATTTTTTAAAAATTTAATATATGAAATCTAATTGAAAGTGTACTATGAAAATCTAATTTTTTTTGAATATTCAAAACACTATAAGAATTATTATAGAAATAGTTTTTTTGTAACGAAAATCGTGACATTTTCGAATTTTTGTCGAATTTGATAAAGATGTTTATATAAAAACTAAATTTCTAAAAAGCTAAATTATTATCATTATTTTAAATCTTTCAATTTTCAGAAATAATGATTGGTTATTAAAATAAGAATATTTAAAAATAGTTGATTTTGGTGTATTTTCAAATGATCCATTCGATGATATGATCCACTCGGTGATAAAACACGTTATGAGGATGTGTTTTTGATAAATGCTGGGCTGAAATTTAAATGAATTTTCTTATCAAAACTATGCTTTATTTTATATATTTATAAATATATAATAATCTATATATTCATTATAATGCTTTGAAATTTATAATATATATAGAAATTTGATTTCCAAAATAAATATCATTTTTTATAAAATTTTAAATATTAAAAGTTCAATATAAACTTTAATTTGATTAAAAGTTTTAATAAAAAAACTAAAATTAAGTTATTAAATTGTTAAATTCTAAATAAAAATATATCATTTTACAGAATTTCAAGTATATAATAATATTGATTGATTTGATATCGAATTTCAAAGTAAATGTATGTCACGGTCAATCCGCGTAAGGGCTGGCGAGGGCACGTGAGTAGCCCTGCGGGCCTACCTCGGGCCGACGCCAACCCGCGCACAATTATAAATTGTAGAATTTTTATAGTTTAGAGGAATTAATGAAAAGTCTTTGTGCTACATTACACCTAGTTGATTCATTGCTATTATCTACTCTAACAATGAATTTTGATATAAAAAACTGTTTTATATACAGACTTAGCATTTAATAAAAACATGCCCTCATATACCTTTCTACATTACCTCAAGATTACCTCTACAAATTCCTTTTACAAATTCCTTTTACAAATTCCTTTTATTTCCATCTTTATTTCTATTTCCATCTTCATCTTCATAACTCTGACTCTAACAACAATCATAACATACCTCCCGAGTTATTCATTCATCCCATCCATCACCAACCCATCCACCCACCCATCAAACCCCCCAGGCCATTCCCAAAATCCCGTTCCGATCCGCTCAATCTCAATCTCCATCTCCATATCCATATCCATATCCATATCCATATCCACATCCATCCATATCCATTTCAATCTCCATATCCATCTCCAGCCACAGACCCCTACTCCCCCCTCCAGCTTCCCTATCTTTCCCTACTTCGTACCCAACAACCTTGGAAACCCCTACCCCCCCTACTTTCCCTATCCGTACTCTCCCAATCCACCCGGGCACCCACCCACCACCAACCCCATCGTGGCTGTGCTTGCTGTGCTCACTGCAGGTGTGCTCACCTGCTATACCATACCCCCCCTCCTCTCATCCAGAAATTACCAAAAGCCAAATCCCGAACCCACATCTCAAATCCAAAACCAAATCCCAAACCCTAAACCCCAAAACCCAATAACTCAAAACAAAAATTCCCATCTATCATACATAATAAACAGTAAACAAATAATATAAAAATCTATCATATCATATCATACCATACCATTTACCATACTATCTCTCATCAGTTACTCATCTCATAACTACTTACTACTCGAGTAACTAATCCAGAATTAAAGTCTATCTACCTATCTACTTATACCCATCTCCTTAAATCCACCTACTACCGATACTCGGTCGAAACGTACCTAGGTATCTACTCGACAATGAACAAGATATATACATAAACACATAAATAAACACATAAATAAACACATAAATAAACACATAAATAAACACATAAATAAACACATAAATAAACACATAAATAAACCACATAAATAAACACATAAATAAACACATAAACAGGTTACTTATATACATACCTAGATACCCAGATATTTATATATAAATTCATATAAATCCATATATATATATATCATTAGTAAAATCAAAAGTACATACCAACCCAATCTATCAACCTCATATGTAAAAAATTGTAGAATAATCTAAATCTAAATCTAATTCATATCTATTCAATATCTAATTCATATCTAATTCATATCTAATTCATATCTAATTCATATCTAATTCATATCTAATTCATATCTAATTCATATCTAATTCATATCTAATTCATATCTAATTATATCTAATTCATATCTATTCATATCTAATTAATTATATCTAATTCATATCTAATTCATATCTAATTCATATCCTATCTCCAATCCAATCCAACCAGATAGAAAGATAGATAGATCAACATTTCCAACCTGATATATCAATCTTTCTCCAGGTCAGTCAACAGTTGAATATCACAAGTTGAATAGGACAAGACAAGCACAAGCACAGCACAAGCACCATCATAGAGCAGCGCCAATTCAACATTCCAGACACATTCGTCTTCGTCATTCAGTATACCATTATCTCCTTCTAAGTATATGTGCGTCCAGTGCGTATATCAGTATGCGCCATCGAGGCCATACCATCCATCCCTCCATCATCTCTCCCCCTAATCAAGCCTTTTCCCCCAAGCCAATCAATCCTCTAAACACCATACCACGTTTAAAACGAGTGTTCTCCATTCAATTCTCTCCACTTCCATCCATTCCATCCATCAATAACCTCAACAAACAAGCAACGTTGATTAAAGCACCATATGCCCAATCCAAAACCATCCACTTCCATGTATAAAAAGGAAGACTGTATATCAACCACAAATAAACCCAATAAACCAATCCAAATTGATATTGCCATGTAATCCCAAAGTACTCCAATGCTACGCCTTTTGAATGCAGTTGCTTGCTTTGCTCTTTTGCTCCAAAACGAAGTAATGTTATTTTCATCAACCTAAAATGATGTGATGTGATGTTTGTGACGTGAATTTTCGTCGTCTAAAGGTATCTCCTTTTGTACTCGCAGGTTCCTCGCAGGTTCCTTGATATCGTATATTTGATCTCATCGAATGCTCCTCCAACCCGTCTCAATCACTATCCGAATGATCGGGATTGGCAATAAATAATCGGCCCGCACCAAGAGTCATTGTGGTCGTTCGTTCGTCGACACTTCCTCTTCGCCTTAATTCGTCGGGATTCTTCACACTTTTTTCGCGTGTGATTGTTGATTTAAGCAAGCTGTTACTTGCTAATCTCGCTGCATCATTCGAATTCAAGTCCGCAATACCATCTGCTCGTTCTCCACTACTGATACTTCCTCCTGCACTTCTCGTTCCATCACCGCCTTCAAAATAATTCTTAGCATTCGCATGTTCAGCCGGCACAGGAGTTTCCCCAGCTTCTGCCACATCTGCGAAAGATTCCCGTCTCTCTCTCTCGCTAGGTGGCGTGTGGCCTGAGCTCCATCTGCCAGCTGTCGAACTTGCACCCGATTGTCGTGAATATGTAAGACCCCTCCTAGCACTGCCAACACTACTGCGTCCAGAACCCGTTCTTCGATGATATAAAATTCTGCCGCTATCTCCATCATCATCACTGTCTCCACCTTCCACTTCACTAGCACTCAATCTCATGGGCACACCGACTACACCTCCGACAAGATCTCCCGGACTATATCCTACCAATCCAGCTTTCCCATGATGTCTTATTTTCGCCGTCACTCGATTACTTCCGACCAAACTATTTGTGCCACCCGTCGAGATCCTTCCTTGTAAAGGTCCACCGAGTACTGCAGCCGCTGCTCTTTCCTTGGCGGCTTTTTGTTGAGCGATCAATCGTGGATCTTCATGTTGCGATCTATCACACCACACCGTCGCCTTTTGTTTTCGCATCAGAGCCACATAACCTTGAGGTTGTAAATTTCCCGATCGTGAGGACGTGGATCGCCTCAAGTCTTGAGAGCCACGATATGGCACAGGGCCATTCCCACTACTCGCCGTTGTCGAAAAGGTACCCGTCGAAGGAGTTCTCCGTGAAGAGAAGCCGCTTATCTGCATATTTCCTGGATAGAGAGTTTGGGGATTTTGAGGTTGAGGCGGGTAATTGATGGAAGGAAAGGTATTGGAAGAAATCGTACGAGCTCGACTGTGATTGTTGTATGAAGGAGCAGAAGGAGAAGTTTGGAAACCAGGTGGCATTGGTTTCCTTTGAGGGACATCGGCCATCATATTGATGTGTGAGAAATGGAGACTGCGGGGACAATAATGAGGAATCAAGTAGAAGCAGGATTTAATTGGTCGCAAACAAAACGTAAAGGCTCGTAAGAGGTTCGAATTAATCCAAGTAAGCTGTAGTTGGCTAGAGTGTATGCTGCAAGGCTATAGACCAAGGAATTTATTTTTTTCCTATGAAGCTAAAAAGAGTAGTCCCAAATTGAGGCCTTTAAGAATCGGGATACCGCCGTATGGAAGCGTAAGTTTTTTGGGGGGGGAAGTTGGCGTGAAATTGAGTGGTGGTGGTGTATGGATGGGATGGATGGTATGGATGGGCTCGGAGCAAGCTTAATTTTTTTTCTCCCCTTAGGTTGGAGTTTGAGTTTGGGGTTGGAAGGGGAGGGGGGTGTGAATGGATGGATGGATGAATGGTCGGTCTTTGGGGATATTAATATAATAATAATCAATGTTCCTTCCTCCTGTCTTTCCTCACAAGCCAGCCAAATACAAAGAAGGAGAGGAAAAAGAAAGCAAGCAAGCCAGCAAGAAAGAAAGAGAGTAAGTAAGCAAGTAGGAAGAAGTAGGTGTGTTTTGTACTAGGTAGATACTACTGTCGGTATTCTGCTACTCGATTTTCAATTGAAGAATAAGTCAAGGAGCGATGAACCCGGGTGGTATGGTATGGTTTAAAAGGAAAAAGAGGATGTTAGGATAAACCGGGAGGACGGGTATAAATTTGAATGTGTGAAGTCAGGGAGGGAGGATTTGGAGAGATTGAGAGATTGGGAGATTGGAGAGATTGGAGACTCTGAGACTTGGGAGGAATTATTATCGGAAAAGTCTTGGGCGGAGGGGGGGAGAGGGAGGATCAAGTTGTTGTGATTGTTGATTGATTTATGATTTACTAGGGAGGTAGAAGATATATATTATGACTAGGGACGATTATTTATTACCTAGTATGGAGGGTTCGGAAGTTGATTGATAAGGTGGTGGGTGAGTGGTGGGTGAGTGATGAGTGAGTGAAGTGTGAGTTAATAATTACCGGTAAGTGTGAGTGAAGTGTGATATGGGTGAATGGAGTGAATTGAGTGAATGCAGCGATTTGAGTGATTTGAATAATTCGAGGGATAAGTCGGTACGGAGTATACTAGTGACATCTCGAGTGCACACTAACACGCTTTGGGTACTTTCCTTCTTCGGTGAAAGATAACCCTAGTTAGGCATTTTAAGGTTGTAAGTATACCGGCGGATTGTGCTGAGGTGGGTGCGTGGGTGTGGGTGCGTGAATACAGAGATAGATGTGTAGCTGTGTTTTATGCCTACCTAGTACTATATAAGCGGCGTGAAAGGATAAATGGAGCTGGGTTTTGAGGCGTAGAGAGTAATATGTAGTAGAACCTTGGAATACCTAGGTAATGATTATTTATTATCCTACTCTGTATAGAGATCGCATAGTGGTGGTGTTGTTGTATTGTCTAATTATTGTCTAATTATTGTATAATTATTGTATGTAACAAGCTAAAATGATACAAAATGCACTTCTCAGTATTGATTGTTCCCTTCTCACTGCTCGCTCTTCAAACATCTTTTGCTTACCTACCTAGGTACTAGGTAATAACTGAGTGACCATCAAACTTGGTACTCCCAGATAATAACAACCCACAACCTTATCGCGGCTTAATACTATCATTTATCATTATCCAAGATCTTTTCCTTGGTCGTTTCTTGCTTTGTTCCTGGACTAATCATTCTTAATATTTATTACACCCCTATCCAGATACCGATGCCATACCTACCTTGCTCTTCCTCTAAATAAGGCTTAAATACTTCGGACCTTATTTTCCCCTCAGAATCCAACATGGAAGTTCCTGTAGGGAGTATGGCTAATGTACAGTATATTCGCCATCCATCGTTCGTTCCTTGGAAGATCCTCTCGTTGGGATGCTCGCGAATGATCGCTTCCTCGTCCTCTTCTAGCGCTTCGAAAGTTGGATGATGCAAAGGAAGACTCTCGTGTATTTGTGACTGGATTGGATTGGATTGCAAAGCGGCGTGGATGTCAGAAAGTATGGATGGGATGGGTACAGAAGAGTTCAGCCACGCGCAAAGATCTAACCTTCACTCAAACTTAAGCATTAGCATCGCGATATTCCGTATCGTGCATGGTCTTATCCTTCACCATGATGCACACCCACCCGAGCATTGGAGGCAGTAAGTTTCGTCTTAACAGGACCTTCTTATGCAAGCGACAGATAGATCACAATGTGAACTGTGCCTTGGGTTGCTTGTCCTTTCTTCCCTCGGTCTACAGTAGATGGAGGGTAGTACTAGTATCTTCCTTCAAGAATGGAGTACTAGCCCAAGATGATCTCGTAGCCGTTCCGATATTTGCTGAATGCATTCGTTTTGGGATGGGATTCGGAAAACGTGCGTAACCGTCGACCAATCACACGTGGTTGATGAAGGGTTGAAGCCTTTCGAGGATGTATATGTGTGGAGGAATAATACTCCACCGTTGGATCAAAGCTGGGAAAATAAATTGGAATGGTCCGGTTGGAGTAAGATCCATCAGAATAAGGCCGAGGGTTCAAATTTTCAAGTATCAATAGGTAAATGGGTCAATAAATGTGAAGCAATTCAGGTGTTGTCATAATATATGTGTTTAAGCAAGAGAGAAGATGATGGTCACGAGTGGTTATGAGTTTGTCAAGTTCACGAGATATTTAATGAGGAATTGAAGAAGAATTGGATTAAAAGGATGATGGATGATGAATGATAGGTAATAGGTAATAGGTGATAGATAATAATGTAAGCAATAATACATGACCATAGCAGTACTCAGCATTCAGCACTCAGCACTCAGCACTCAAACACATCAATACATCTCATCTACCGGTATTTTGATTGATATAATTACCAGATATCATCTACATGATTTCTTACTTTCCTACTCAAAGACCACCTCTTTATTTAAATTCCTATAAAAAATCATTGATTCCTCCCACAAAACCCACCCACCCTCTTCCCATCGCATCCCCGCCAAACCTTCCCAACCAAGTAAGCGATGCATAAAATTCCATAGTGCAATGCTTCCTTCGTAGACCACACCACCTCTGATCAACCCCACCGAACCAAACGTCCCGACACCTTTCCGTTGCTTCGGTATCTATCGTACACACGTTCAGCTGTGAGTCTGTGACGGACTTTGCGGCACGTGAAAAATCCCGGTTGGTGGGTTCTTTTGTATCGGTCTTTGATATGCAGACGATAAACTGTATGAGATGGGTGTGTAACCTTACTGTCTAGATACATATATATATGTATATCTATACACGGTATCTCCAACGTGCAGTTAATATATTCGTGGAATGTGTGTTAGTAGATCGATGATGCTAGGTATCGGTATGTATGTATATCGGAGATCTCCAGATGGCTTGATGTTACACTACTTGGATAGATGTGTAGTTTTCAGCAGCTCATCGGCACGTCTGTATCGTATGTACCTCCTTCTTGGCTTTCGTTCAGCTGGAAATTGGAATCAAGCATCCTATGGTTACTTCTGGATACCTAGGTAGTTAATTACACCCATTAGTCATCCATCCTAAGCATAGGTACTTGGAGCATTCTTTCTTATTCATCGAATAGAATAATATCATAACCATATCATATCATATCTAAGCATCATCCAATACTCACATCACCACTCGCAAATTTTCACATCTCGAAACTTCCAAAGACGTCACAGTTTTTAGGTAGGTATCGCCGGATCATCCGTTTTTTGGTGATTGCCAAGACCGACCATGTGCATTATGAAATTATCAACCTCTGCTATTGACCGGCATCTCTACTCTTCTTTCACAGACCACTTCCACTTCTGTTTCTATCTTTCCACATGCATACTGTTTTTTGAGATACCCTTTTTAGGTGAGTGGACCGGTGTTGGACGGGGGTGGAGGACTCGAGGAGGATCACAAAGCGCACACACTTACCCCATTCCAGAACCCCTGTTCCTGGCCCCATCAATCAGTTAGTCAGTTAGTCAGTCATGTACTTGAAATTAAAATAAAAATTGAAAATAAAAATGAATTCCATGTTTTGATGTTTTGGAGTTTTGGAGTTTGAGGAGAATATCGTGTATGGTATTTATGTATTTATGTATTTATGTATTTATGTATTTATGTATTTATGTATTTATGTATTTATGTACTGAACAGGGAATAGGTAGGTAATAAAGGAAAGAGTAGAATTGGGAATTGGCAATTGGGAATTTCGATAGTATCCATAATGGGTTTTTGAGGGTGGTTTTTCTTTAGGGGGGTTTTCTTATCGTGAGTGGGTGGATGGTGGGGGTGTGAACTTTGAAGACGCGCTTGGTTTGTGTTTGTATTTGTGCTGAAGAAGAATTTGGTTGCTCTGTTGGAGATATTCGATGTGAGGATGATGATGAGGATTTGGATGGGATGGGGAGAAATATTCCATCGCGATGATCTAGAAATTTATAATTAATGTAGGTATCTTTCCCCCTCTCCAGGTGATATATTAAGATTTACCGAGTCATCGTTGGAAATTAGATAGATACTAATCCCAAATACAATACTCTGTAGATATCATCTGTACGAAAGACAAAATATTGGTAATACAAGACTAATATATTTCAATTTCAATATGAATCTATAAATCCTCCCTTCTTTCTTTATTCCTCGATTTTAGGTTACAATTATATGTCTTGTTTTATCATATACTTAGATACATTTCCATATGTTTGACACTTATATCTATGACTTCAGCTAGCCTAACAGCTAGTATCAAAATGTAACCAAACCAAACCAATCCATACCAATCCATACCAATCCATACCAATCCATACCAATCCATACCAATCCATACCAATCCATACCAATCCATACCAATCCATACCAATCCATACCAATCCAAACCCATCATCCAAGCTCCTCCTCGGCTCTATCCCTCCCCTCCATCCAACAATACAATCAACAATACAATCAACACACAAA